AAGAAATAGGCCTGCGAATGCAAGATACAAATCTGTTGCAGGAATGCCTTTAAATATGTGCATTAGGTGTCTGCTCTTTTCTCCATACCCAGATAACAATTCATTCATAGTCAGAAGCTGAGTTACCAACATGCAGAAATATACCAGTGTGACCAAGCTACCTAATATTGAATATGTAAATGGCACAGTCACTAGAGTGTGGAGTGGCACGCACTCTGTAGGAGCTACAGACACTGTCGTTTCAGCCAGGATTGTTGTGAAGCCTTTATTGTAATGAGTCCATAGACTTGATTCCAGTGCCCTCCTGGTGCACGGCGACCTATGATTTGCCCTCTTAATGAAACCTGGAGTACTTCATTGCTGCTAGATAGAGGCAGGCTGGGGACACATTGAGAGTTGAGCGTAGAGAAGTGTCTTATGTTTGTGCTCGCCTGAGAACGATTTTACAGCTTTTGCTGTGACCATGCTTGTGGGTTGGATATGATAAATTGTAGTCCCTCCTGTCTCATTTTTTGGCATAGTAATGTTGAAATTACTCTTCTGTACTTGAGATCCTATAACACTCTATCTGGCTAATTTCAGCACAAGAAAAAGCACCTGACTGCTTCTTTCTACCCTCTTCTCTCATCCCCACCCAAGCTCCCAGGCTCACAGTAGGAGTCGCCTGACTTCTTAACGTAGTTGCATGTACATAGAAGATACATGCTAAATATGTGGCTAAAATGAGGAAGTAAAGGACATCAGGAAAACCTTCTTTTGTTTACCGTGATCCCTCCGCACAAGTTGCCAAACATCCAGGGGAATATGGAACTGGCCTAGGTCCTGAAAGTTCAAAGAGCGAGGAATACTAATACTGCACTACTATGGAACGTTTAACAAATTGAACCCATTTAAGTACAACGCTTCCTACAAAACAACACTTTAGCACTGATATTGTCAGTAATTGCCATGATTTCTGAGTTTGTTAAACCTTTGCTACTCAAAACATGGTCTGTGACCAACCACATCGATATCATCTGGAAGCTTGTTAGCAATGCAGAGTCGGGGCCTGCGGCACGTCTGCTGAATCACTGTGTGACCGGCATTCAGTAGGATCCCAGGTGACTTATGTGCACAATTGAGTTTAAGAACCACCATGTTAAACAGAATGTGAGCCATTCTATGACAACGATAAGAGCTTGGGAGCTAGTCACACAATGTGGGATCAAACCCACACACTCCTCACTAGATGTGTGCCAGTGAATGGATCCTTTAGGCTCTCAAGGCTTTCGTTTCCATAAATGTGAATTAGACATAGGAGCCCTGCCCCCCTCATCAGGCTGTTGTGTACACTCATAAGAGGTAATGCAGTTAAAGAACCTCCAATAAAGTGCCAGTTAGCATTATTATATGTGTAGTAATTATTATTATTTTCATTATAGAATAAGAAATAGCA